AATGAAGCTTTGAAGAAGCAATGGAACAAGGGCATTCAGCCAGCGGTGAGGGTGTGTGTGACGTTCTGAACATCTTCCTCTGCCCCAGTCTAGTAGCTGTCTGGTGTCAGTGGGCTCTCAGACACAAAAGGAAACATCTGCAGCAAAGACTTTTCCAGAAATGCAGCCACACACAGGGCTTCGTGAGACAGAGAAGTCAGAGCCAGTGTGGAGTTCTCATGCTCTGTCCTCAGGTTCGAACTCAATCCCTGCTAGAAACACACAGTCACTAGTTTGTCCCATGTCTGTTTGACTAGCTTCCCTTCAATCCAAGTAGGCTCTTTTGTGGGCTTTTCCTCTTCAAACCTATTTTTAAAAAGGTTTTCTTTCTGCTGTGACGTTTAGATTTCCAGAGGCTGGGCTGCAGGCCTGAAGAGTGTGAATTCTGCTCTCCAGCTGTTGAAGCTCACTTATAACCCAGCCTGTGCCAAGAAAGAACTGGGAAGGGGGCACTTGAGCTAACAAGAGTGAAATACAAAGGTCATTTGTGGCAGGCGCAGCTGTACCCTGAAGCAATGCTGTGTTGCAATATGGGTTCTATTTCTTGGGGTGCTAGAAAGGTGAAGACACTCACAGGACAATCCTTGGCTCTTCTCCAGCTAATGAGGGGCACCTAAGAGACTCCCCAATAATCCCGTCTTGTCTAAATTAGCCCAAGCCCTTCATTCTATAAACAGTTCAAGGCTGTATTCTGAAGCCTCTGGTTGGTGCAGCGAGTTGCTTTATGTGGGGTCATCGATTGATCAGGGCACCGGAGTGAGGAGACACAGACAGCCAGGCTGGGAAGAACTCTGTGCGGGGGACAGTTTGCATTTTGCTATTGTGCTGGCCCAAGGAGGACAAGGTGGATCTCTGGGCATCCACTGAAGAGTTAGGGTGGCCTCCTCTCCTCTCCAGGGCTGCCTCAGCCTATAGTCGCCCACCACAGCTGCCCCCATGTCCTAAAGTGCTTGTACTTTGCTCTCATTTGTGAAGGCAGAGCCTGGGAAGTGAGGGAGTACAGGTTGCTCACACGTTAGCTGGTCAGAGCACTGCTGTCCACAGGCCTTTATCCCCAAGGGTACTTTGTCACCCCTGAGGACCTGAGGCCCTACCTCCTACCTCAGAGTCCACTCTGACAACTTCCTTACCTGGCAAAAGTGCACATTAAAGTTTAGGAAGCTCTGAGAGATGTTCTGGAAATGGAGCGAGGATGCATGCACCACACTCCATTCCTCAGTGGGCTGAATTAAACCTTAGTAGGACCCATTAGTCTGTCAGTCTGGAGTCGCTGTTTGCTCCTCCAGGTGCAAGTGCAGTCACCTCCCAGACCATGGCCAAGTCTGTCTGATGTCCCTGAGGAGACAGGAGCCCACAAGGACCCCCAGGCCTTTCCTACAACTCTTGCTGCTTTTTCTCAGGGCAGCCTCTGCCTCAGGTCTTCAAGCTCTAATGCCACTGCAGACAGCACCACAGAATGAAACGGCTGTCACTTGGGGGTCTGCCTCTGTTTCCAGATCATCAAGGTCACCCACCTGGCAGGTGAGAGCATTCTCTCCAAGTGCTACCTCAGCTCTGGGGCCATCAGGAAGGCGACACCTGAGAGGAAGCAGCACCTTTCCCCTGGTGTGGGGAAGCGGATGGTGAGGCAGTGCTCAGAGGCAGTGCAGAAGGTGAAAATGAGCTCCAAGGGTCTGCAGAGTGAAGCGAGTCCTCTCATAGCTGTGCCACAGTGTGAAATGCTTCCCAAGGCCCTTTGGGAAAGTCTGCCATCAGAAAGTCTTTGGTGGAGCCAGGGGCTGGTTGGTATAGGCCAGGACAGCACATCTCGCCGGTGACCTGTGTTTCTGTGGCAACCAGAAGTCGGGGACAGGAAGCACAGAGTATGCACCCCATGATTCATGGGGATCACACTGGACTACCCATGGCTGCATTTGCTACAGTATGTGGATTGGAGACCTGTAATAATTATTTTTATTTCAAATAATTAAAGGAAAAGATGACTACAGCAAAATAAAGGAAATAACTTAGAAAGAATTATCATGCAATTGCCTTCCAGGACATAAATGTTTGTTGGAGTCAGCAACTCCCAGGATTTGCAGCCAGGAGCAACCATGTCTTCTGCCAGACACCCTAGCCTCAGACACTGGTGTCCTCCCCCTAAGAGACCCTCCTTATCCATCCCATTCTTTCTGCACCCCTGCTCCTGCGATAGTGACTCTGCTTGTGATCCCTGAACTTGGATCAAGTTCAAGATCTGCTGGAGCTGGAGATGCTCAGAGCTAAGGAAAAACCCCTGCCCTAAAGAGGGTCCCTGTGGTGCCAAAGGGGTCCCTGAGCTGCAGCACCACTCACAGAGACAGGTGTGTGAGCCCCTGAGGGCAGAACAAGAGACACGGCCCTTCCCCACCTGCATTGTCATCTCCCTGCCCTTGGCCCCAGCAGCTGAGAACTTGGTGATCTGGATGTGGCCACCGGGCCAGGCATACACCACTGGCTGGGTCACCAGGGCTTGGCTTTTGGGCTCACACCTCACACAGCTTCTTGGAGCGCACATGCCCATGCCCATACCCAGGGGTCTGCAGGATCCCTCCCAGCCCTTCCAGCCCAGATGCCCCTTGCAACCTGCAAAGGCAACCTGCAAAGACTTGGATTCCACAGCGGATCCCTGTGGCTCAGGGCAGAGTGCTGTGGGCACTGTGATGCTTGGGGTTCCGCCCTCAGCACCAGGCTGGTGGCCTTCAGGTCGCACTGGCAGGGTCTGCCCTCATCCCTGACCTTAGTCTTTGGGTGCTAACTCCAAGACCCCCCTCCAGGTTCCCCTGAAGCTGCTCCTTTCACTGCACATGTGTATACTGTTCCCTCAAGAAGAGTTTTCCCATCTGTTTCTGCACATCCTGGCCTGCCCTCAGCGGCGTCATCCCGGTCAGCACTGTTAAGTTTCCCTGTACCTGTTACAGTGTTTTTCCTGAACACCTCTCCTAGTTCTTAATTCTGCCCTTTCTGTTGCCTCACCTCTCACCGGACCTTATCGGGGAAAATCACCTTCATAAGAGCTCTTATATGGAGAGCAAAAGCAAAACAAGAAAACCCTCACAAACTAAGGGGAAGCTTCTTTTCAGACACCATTAAAGTGTTTAAAATGCCCAAGGCTCCCTATTCACGTGGCTAACAAAAATCTCAGACCAAGGAGCAGCAAGCAACCCTACTTTAAAACTGTTGTCATGGCCAGGTCATTTTCCTACAAAGAGGGACTTAGTCCCAAACTGTTTCCCTTGCAGTTCTAAGAACCTTGTCCCCTGTCACCATGAAATACCAGAATTCTGCTTTAGTAGGCTCGCTGTCACTTATGTTCCATTTAGTAAGAACTGAAATGATGTGAAGGTTAAAGTTTACTGAACAACTTAAGAAAAAGCAAGTTTTAAAACACACTGCATTTAGAGAGAGAGAAGTCATTCTTTAACAATAAGTATGAGTTTTATATCTGCTCATGTTTAGTCATTTCAGTCTTTTAGTTGAGATCTGTAGGACTGAAACAAAAGGAGAGGAAGCCAGTGATGCACGGTGTGCTCTGTGCGGTGCAGGGCTTCACCCGGGACCCTGGGTGAGGAGCTGTTCGGCTGGGGAGGGTGAGGAAGCTGGTCTCGGGCTGGGTGGCCCCACTGCCCTCTTGTGGCTGCATCCTCATGGCAAGGTCCGCCTGGGCAGGGGCAAAGGAGGAGCACAGAGACAATGCCTCTCTGACCACACACTAAAGCCAGTGGGTGGCGAGAGAGCACTTTGTGTGACATGTATTCTCTACTGGTCTGCAACACTGGTGCAGAAACATGTGCTCGTTGTGATCTCAGAATGAGATCTTCAGGCAGGCCTGGGTGTGCTCTTGCACAATCTGTCACATGCCAGCTCCAGGTGGACAAATAACCTAAAACTGAGCTTCAAATTTGCAAGGAAAATGGAACATGCTGTGATTTTAAAAACAGCCATGAAGATCTTTATATCTCTATTCATCAAGGAGATCAGTCTGTAGCTTTCTTTTTCAGTTGTGTCTTTGTCTGGTTTTGGGCTCAGAATGATGCTGGCTTCCAGAAATGAGTGTGGAAACCTCCATCCCTTCAGCTGCATTGAAGTGTTTGAGGGGTAGCCATGAGGAGTTTTGCTCCTTAAGGGTTTTGTGGAATGCAGCAGTGAACCCATCAGGTCCTGGGGTGTTTTTTATTACTGCTTCACTTTCATTGCTTCTTATTGTTGTTCACTGTTTTTGTGTCTTTTCGTGTTAGTTTTGGATTTGTACAAGAAGCTGTCCATTTCCTCAAGATTTTTCAATTGTTTGGGTTCCAATTATTGATTTCTGTGATGTGTTGTGATTTCACCTTTTTCATTTCTAATTGCATTAGCGTGGGTCTTTCCTCTCTCTTTTGGTAAGTTTGGCTAAAGATTTATCTATTTTGTTTATTCTTTCAAAGAACCAGCTTTTTAATCCATTGATGCTTTATAAATTTTAGTCTCAATTTCATTAATTTCTGCTCTGATCTTTATGATTTTCTTCCTTAATTTTGGTTTGTATTTGAACTGCTGTTGTTTCTCAAGTGTCTTGAGGTTCCTCATTAGGTTGTTTATTTGAACTCACTCTGCTTTCTTAATGTGAGCATTGATTGCAATGAATTTCCTTCTGTGGCAGCTCTCAGTTGTGTAAGGCAAAGCACACATAAACAGCAAGATAAAGGATGGGTAGAAGGAAACAGGGAGAGAGACCTTTTGCAAATTGGAAGGAGAGCTGGAGACCAAAGGCAAGAGGAGTAGAACAAGGAAGGGGATAGAAAGATGTAAGATGTGTCATGTGTATGCAGGAAAACAAACCTGCAATGAAGACAAACACTACGTGTCACCAACGTGAACTAAAAATAATAATAACATAATAATGAAAATGGAGAAGGAGAATTTAGAGACAGAAGGAGGGAGGTGGATGGGAAGGGGAAGGAAATTTTTAAAGTTATCTGAGTTATGTGCATGGATGCATGTAAACTTCATGTTCTGCAAGCACATACTAATAAAAAAATTTTGTTATTTAACACTTAAAAACAAAACAGCACTGAGTTTGCTGACTGTGGTAACACTGACGTCAGGAAGGAAAGCAGCTCACGGGTGCAGATGTGGGGAGTCTCACCCCAGCCCCTGCAGGAGCCGAGGCAGGTGCCTGTCTGCTGCTACTCCGTCTCCCCAACCTGCCCCGAACCGCAGGCCGTTCTCTCTGAGATGCTCTCCAGGAAGCGTGCTGACACTCCTCCCGTTCATTTTTCGCTCCTTCCTGGAGGGCTCGAAGCCATCTGATGATTGGCAGGACTGCTTCCCCCCTCTGCCGTGAGGAGTCCGAGGCTGACCCACACTCACCACTGACTGTGCCCTGGTGCTTCTGGGAATCTGGAGCCAGCAGCTCGCCAGTTGAAGAGATAATCTCCATGACATCAAATGAAGTTTCACCAAGAGGCAAAAGAGGATTTGGCTAAGGCCACAGGACCCAAAAATGTGTGGCCTGCCTTGGTTTTACTTGTTTTAGTAGCCACTTTGTCAAATTTAGATACAATTGCTGGTGGGCCTGAGATTTTGCTTGGTCTATGCTTTTACAACACAGATCACCAGCCCCAGCAGCACTTGTCACACTGACCCCAGGATGCACATGGTTGTATGGTTTTAAGATGCAGTATCTTAAATTGGTAATCCATTTGTAAATGGATTAAGTACCTACTAAAGGCCCCTGCAGCTCTAAAACCAGGTGGCATATAATATTCAGTCACATCTACAGGTCCTTGCTTCAGATGATCAGAATGCTGTGGAACACTGCTACATCCAAAGCACACTGCTTCACTTTGCTGTGCTCTTTTGTTAATATGAATGGTCTCAGCCTCAACACAAAGCATGCTGTTATTCCCATGTGTGGACAAGCTTCCAAAATAGTCACCTTAGCTCGAATTAGTGTGAAAAGTACTTTAGGGTAACTTTCCTCCAAATGAAATAGGTATTTCTTCTCCATGGACACACAAAAGTCAGCAGGAAGAATTTATCCAGTAAGCACTGAAAAGCAATAATGAGACTGAGAGATGTCCATCTGCTTTTATGATCCAAGAAACCAGCAGTTCCCAATGCCTTCTAGGAGGAACAGACTTCCTACCAGAGTCTCTGTACATCCTAAGTAGAGGCTTGATATCTGTCATGGTCTATGTCGGTGGCCCCCAGGCCTCACGCATTTACATTATGCATCTGTGATTGGTTCATTGTCTAGTGCTTGGATTGATGGTGTCAGCGCTACACCCACAGAGGGGTGGAGCCAGGTTGTAATTTAATGGCAGGAAGAAGGTGTGTCTTGCTCTCTTGCTGGTTTCTGCCTTGCTGTTTGCAGTCGCCATGAACTGCGGCCCTACCAAGCCACCCTGCCTTGGAGGCAACTGAGTATGGACTGAAACCTCCAAAAACTGTAAGAAATAAACCTTTCCTTTCCCAACTTTAGTCATCGGGTATTTTGTCTCAACGATGAGTAAAAAGTAACTAAGACAATATCTATCCCCCAGAATTCATATACAGATCCAGTCCCGTGTGGTGGAGGTGTGAGCTCACGAAGGTGGAACCTCATGTGAGGGACCCATGCTCTTCTCAGGGACCCTAAAAAGCTCCAAAGGGACACAGCAGGAAGAAACTTGTCTATGGATCAGGAATTAGGCCATGGCAACGCCCGAGTCCACTGCAGGTCTGGGAACTTGCACGCCGGGCTTCCACAGGGTGAGAAATCAATCTCTGCTGTCCATAAACCACCCAGGGTGCCACGTTCTGTTGTAACAGCAAACAAACTAACGCATCTCCACCTCAAACCACCCACCCCTTCTATGCTCTAGACTCTGCTGGGCACCTCAGTGGTGGACAGCACCTACTTCCCATAGTTTAAAAACTAAGTGGCCTGCTTCCTGTCTCCTGGCTATCGCAATGATATTTTACAATCTAGAAGGCAGAGAAACAATATAAAGAAGCATTTAAAGAATCATCCATAATCCCCTATTCAGAGCCGCTTCCAGGTAGTTAATGCCATCTACATTTTCTTCCACATTTCTTTTTCACATCATTGATAGTAAATCACATCTTCAGGGGTTTAGCTCAGCAGCATAAGTGCCTGTCTGGCAAGTGCGAGATCATGAGTTTGATCCCTGGTACCGAATAAAGAAATAAATAAATCATAAAGACCACATAAGAGTCCATTCTGTGGCATTGCCATTCATTTCTTTAAAACACAACACTGCTGTTACAGTTTATTATATTATTTTGATGTCCAGTGAGATTTTTAGTTTGTTTTGTTGTGGGGTTTTTTTTGGCTTCTTTTGGTGCTGGGAGCTGAACTCAAGGCCGTGAGCTTGCCCGTCGGCAAGAGAGCCAGTGGGATCTTTTACTTATACTTTTCATTCAATTTCTCTTCAACTCCTTTTCTTGCAGCTGAACACCCTTTTGAACGTAGTCTGAACTGAAAACTGCATGCGAGATTAAGCACCTGGGCAGCTCTCCCATTAAAACTGCTATTGCAGTGTGACCTCTCAGCAGGGCTGCCTCCTGGAGACAGCCTTTGTTTCCTCTGTGGTTCATTTCCAGATTTACTGACTATCAGGTTTACATACCAAACAGCCAAGTGGCAGGTTTATCGACTACCAGGTTTATCCTGGTTGTGAGGTACGTAAAGCCATTTACTTCTGGTTGTACACACTTTAGGTTACTGGAGTCCTCTGAAGCACTAATGTAAAGAAGCACGGTAATCAAGCCCGGCATCACTGCAGAATCAAATGAGCTCTGAGTTAGTGGGGGTGCTATTTATTTATGCTCATATTACCTACAGTGTCCCCAATCTTTTGTCTGTTGTGTTTCACTGATGTTTCATAGTGAGCAAGAAAACATCAAATCTTCTGACCATTTTTTCACGTACAGTCATCTCTGGTGCCTCTACTCTGTGCACAAGGGACTGATTTGAAGGTCCCCAAGTCTTTGCATGTGTGGGAGCTGGCAGACACCCTTAAGAGATCCAGAGTCCCCTCTCCTCGCTTCCTGGCCCCAGCCTGGTCCTTTTTCTCAGCCTCCCTTTCAGGAGGTTCTGGTCTCACGAGTGAGCAATCCTAGCAGGAACGTCAATTCTTATTCGCGTCCCTTATTGGCCTGACCCATAAAAACTTCTGCCGACTGGAGTCAGGAAACTCAGAATCATCAGAAATTCATGTGGTAAAGATGACACAGCCAGATTCAGCTTGGCTTTTAAATGACTATGGTGACAAGTAGTTCCCACTGACCTGAACAAACATGCTAGACAGTATAACAATAAGAAAGACACTTTCCCTGTATTAAATGATTAACCCTTGGGTCACCAGAAGTAAAAATTCGGCATGCTCTGACCACACAGAAAAAAACTGAAGCTGGTGAGCAGAACCTAGGATGCAAAGTCTTGGGCCAGATTCTCCCTGTCCACAGGTCTACCTCTGCCCCTTTCTAGTGCAGAGGCTGCAAGCCTGCTGATTCACTTGTCAGCGGCCTCCCAGAGAAAATTCAGCAACCCAGAGACTGGTGATAGCAAGAAGTTTTTTCTTCTTCTTGCTTTGGGCAGGTCTCTAACAGCAGGGGCAGCCAGCAGCTGCAGTGGGTAGTTGCAGGCTCTGGAAGTGTCCTAACTCTGGCTGACACACAAATTCCCTTCTGGGTGCTGCAAATCACTAGCAAGTTCTGTAACTCTTATGAGTTCCCACCTTCTCATCTATTAAAAAATAACAAAAATAATACCTCTGCATTTTGAACATACTGTGTATAATTCATAGATACAACATGGAGGGATACCAGATAAATTTCCTCTTGCTGGTCGTGTATTTCTCTTACCAAAGTTTCCAGAGCCTCTTACATGTTAGTCATTTCTTCTTTTAAAGAAACTGCTATAACTTGCTACCAGAGAGAGCTGTTTCTTCATAATTACAGAGAGTAATTTTTACTCCAGGGCAAAACTTTGATGTTTCAACACTACCTTTTGGAAACACCACTGAAGGCCCATCCCCTGGCTTCGTGAGGAACTGATGGACACCACTGATGGGTTTGGACACAGGACCTGTGATGCACACAGATGAATAGCGGTCCTCATGCCACAGGTCGATGTCCCTTGACTTGTGTCCACTCACTTTCAGGCCTCTCTTAAAAGAAGTAGCACCTCAGTCCAGCCGTATTACTCATGAGATGCTGAGTTGTGACAGCCAAAATGTCACCCAGAGGACACCACCTACCGACATCCACTCTTTCAGATCCTGTGGAGATTACATTGTCAAGTTCTCCAAAGAAACAGAGCTAATGGGCTGTGTACGTGGAGACAGATCAAGAGACACAGAGAAGACAGTGGAGATGCTATAGATCGATGGGCAGACCGTAGGTAGGTAGGTAGACAGATAGGAGATTTATGGTGGGAGATTGGCTAGTTCAGTCACAGACGCTGGCAAGTCCAGTACCGGGGAGGCCAGGAGAGCTGAGGCCTGCAGTCTGGGGGCCACCTGCTATCGTGTAGGGAAGAGCTGGCACTGAAGTCTGAAGTCATCTACTGGAGAAAAACTCTCCGTGATGAGGCCAGTCCTTCTGTTCTGTTGAATTTTCAGATGATTGCATGAAGTGTTCAAATCACACTCTCTGCTTGCTGGAATGCACAGTCTAGACCAGTGACAGCAAACTTTTTAGAGACTGAGTACTCACACTGCTCATGATGTCATGCCTGGTGCCACTACTCCTTTCCGCGCATGCACACAGCCCCCCTGTGTGCTGTTATCCAATGTGTGGCTGCTGGAGAAAGGCTGGAGTGACCAATCTTTCATGCCCACGTGGCCTGTGTGGCACAGTTTCATCACTATTGGTCTAGGCAGTAACTCATCTGATAAGCAAGCGTTTTAGCTGCCCATCGTGGGGTAACGGACTCCCAAACTGGCATAAGACAGCATGACTCTGTGCATGTGCTCTGAATTCAGGGAAAAGAGAGGATGCCATCTCTGCTCTCCGGTATAATAGCTGGGAGCAGCTTGAGTCACTAATGGCAGGAACCGCCTGCTCAGTGCGGTCCCCAGCCAGGAGGGTTGAGCAAGGCTCATTGGAAACTTGAAAAGAGCACAAGGATACTTTGCAGGCCTCTCTCATCACCTAAGATTCCAGAGGGGAGCTCCGAAGGGAGTCCCGGAGTGGTGACATCCCCGGAGAGCATAAAAAATCAGAAAGCCCTCCTCTGACTGAGCCCTGGACACCAAACAAGTGCCCTCCGCACACTCTCTGCTGCAGGGAAGTCATGGAGCCAGGGTTGATTCAGAAGAGGGAACTCTAGCCCCCTTCTTGGTGGGAAGTAGAGAAGACATAGAACAGAACAGAAGAGTGTTGCCATAAGGTGCAGATGCATAAATAGAGACAAATGATACAGATACAAAATGAACAATTATTTCATAAAAGCTCAAGTAGAGCTAAATAGAAGTGGTATTCTAAATACATACGTGGAAAATACGTGCGAAGGATCTTTTGTGGGCGATGGAGACTGAATCATGCTCTTTGGGTCTGACAAAGCTCTGTCTTGAAGAACACATCAAGGAAAAGGTGTTTTATGTCTAAAAAGTGCAGAAATGTTGAGATCAAGACAGGCAGTGTCCATTATACAGGCCAGATGCATAGAAACACAGAAAGTCACCTAATCCAAGGCACAGAAGAAAATGCATCTCAAGAAGAGGCAACCTTTGCACTGAGTCAGGAAAGCTGAAGGCACTGTCCAGGAGCACGAGGATGGTCTCAAGAGCACATGCAGGTTTTCCCAAACCAAATGCAAGCTGACTTTAATTCTCACCTACTTTGGGGAAGAGGCCAGGAGGTGACATGGGCACATAGCTTCTGTGAAGTGGCCTCGAGTTGCTCTGGACTTGGGCAATCACTGTGATGGATACAGAACCCATCCTTAAACTTCATACCTCATTTCTTGCCCTGTTAGACTCACTCCTCCTTTTGAACAGGATTTTAGAAGTGTGTCTCATGGTGCAATTCAGACATAGGCACACATAACTGAAGGTCTGAGGAACCCACCAGAATTGACTGCTTAAAATCACCACTGAAAGAAAATATTCTATGTAGGGAAGGAGTCTGATATGACCCTCATGTCTTAGTCACTTTCCTTTTTGCTGGGACAACATATCTAACTTTCACAGCTTAAAACAGCAGAGGTTTATTTTGGCTTATGGTTCAGAGGTTAGCAGGGTTAAACACAGACATGGCGTGGTGGGAAGGTCTGAGCAGAGGAAAATAGCTCACCTCATGGCCACCGCCACCGGGAGGCAGAGAGAGAAGGCAGGAGCAGGGAGGAGACACACCCTGCTAGGTCACTCTGCCAGTAGCTGCCTTTTCCTACCTCCTAAGAGCCAGGCAGCTTAGTGCCTCCCTGATCCAGTCCTCTTCCTCCAGCCCTGCCTAGGTACAAATGAGGCTCCTGAGAGACATTCTCAGTCTAACACATACCACCACATAACTCCACAGCGGGACCCAGGGCGCGGTCTAGAGAGTGAAGCAACTCCCACACAGCCTCACCCGGCTCCCCACAGGAAGTGTGTTCTTTTTGTTTGCACACACTTCTGACTCCCTAACTTCAGCCCCCACCTGTGAACCTCCAGACTATTTGTGTCCCCCTCTTTACCCTCAGAGTGAGTTGGCACAGAGACCTGGCGAGAAGTAAGAACAATGCACAGGAGACAAAGTGGCTATCCCCAGAGAGGCGCTGTGCCACACAGGCTGGGGATTGGTCATAGCAGTTTGGTGCCAACCTGTTCAGTGGCGAGGCTGGAGAACCAGGTGGCGATGTGAGGGTCCACATGCAGCAGTGAAGAGCACGTGCTAAAGACTAAGATGCCTCAGTGTCGCCCGTGACTTAAAAGCACTGGCCCAAGACCAGAAGAAGGACCCCGAAGAGCAGTGAGCCAACTGCCAGAAAAGTGGCACGACCAGATGAGGAGGCCGGTGTCAGACGCGGTCCACGGGCCCACAGAGCCTCTTACCCTTCCTCGGACATCCACCTGCCCTGCTGGCATCTCCACTCAACTGGCTGGTATTTCTCAGTTTCTCAATCTTTACAAAGAATGGATAACTGGGATCTCATCTTTAAAAAAATGAAAAAAGAATAGAAAGGATGATATTAAATTCCAAAATAAAGTAACAGGAGATTAACATTGGTTAGTATATTGCATACTGTTATCTTCAAAGCAGTTGTTTAGATTACAAGATACAAGCATGAAGAAAATCAGACACTTTTGTGTAAACATCATATTGTCTCCCTAGTGTAAAAAACTGTAAGCGTAAATAAGATCCAGAATGTACAATAGATGTTGTGAAAGTGAAAGGGAGAGAAACTGCTGAACAGGAAAGAACGGCTGGGATGGGGGAAAGGAGGAGAGAAAGAGGGAACAGATTTTATATATGATAGATCACTACACTACTGATCTCTGTTAATCTTCAAAAAGGACAGTGTGTGCTTTGATTGTTCGATCATTTTATTCATGCCTACATCTGGGATCTCGTCTTACTAAAATTTTTTGCACAGCAAAAGAAACCTCCAACACAGTGAAAAGACAACCTAGAACATGGGACAAAATTTTATCACATGCTCGTCAGACAAAGGACTAACATCTAGAATATAAAAGAACTTAAAAAATCAAACCCCTAAAATTTAAAGACCTGGCCCAAACATGGGCATCTGAAATGAGCAGACATTTCTCAAATGAAGAAGTACAAACAACAAATAAAAAGATGAAAAAATTGCTCAGCATTACTGGTCACCTGAGAAATGCAACTTAAACCAACATTAAGATTTGATCTCACTCCAGAAGGAATGGCGATAATCAAGAAACCAACCAACAACAAATGGGGCGAGGCTGTGGGGGGAAAAGAAACCCTTCTCCATTCTTGGTAGGAGAGCAAATTGGTACAACCACTATGGAAATCAGTATGGGGATTCCTAAAAAACGAGGACTAGAGATTCCATTCATTCGACCCCGCTATTCTCTTTTTAGGGATCTTCCCGAAAGAGAAAAGCACCACACCATAGTACAATATGCACGTCCATGTTTGTAGCAGCACAGTTTGTAATAGTTAAATCTTGGAAACAGCCCACATGCTCATCCACAGATGAACAGGATAAAGAAAATGTGCTTTTTATGGGGTACTGCTTTGCCATAAAGAAGGATAAATTTGAGACATGTTTAGTTAAGTTGATGTATCTTGGGATCATACTTAAGACTATCAAATGGTTTCTGTTGTGTAAGAAACTCGCAGAGGGGAGGACTGAAGGGAAGGGAGGGAGCGGGAAAAAGGGGTCAGGAGCACACAGCCACGGATGCCCGTGATGAACGTGGTCGTTCTGGGGGTCAAAAGCGTACCAGTAAGTTAATTCTTAAAAATCTTAATGAAATACTTACTGAGCACGTGGGGGCTTAGGCCACGGGTCTACTGAGCTTATTCTGTCAGGGTTTTAAGTCATGCAGGAGCCCGCGTCTTCATCAGCTCGGACCACTGTAACACACCGCAGCTGGGCAGCTAATGCACAACAGGTTTATTTCCCAACAGACAGGGCTGGGGGTGAGGCCCGGGCGGGCGGGGGCGAGAGCACTTGCCTGGAGACAGCCGTCAGTCCGCAGGAGGGTTTAACCTACAGCATTCCAAGAAAGCATGTAAATAAAACAAAGAGTATCTGCACACTGAAGTATATATGTGTACGTAAATATATTTAGCTTCAAAACGTGTTACCTTACATATATGTAGTAGTATCTGATTTAACGAAGCATGAACTGTTCCCGAGTTGTTACAACTAACTTGACTGCGTCCCTGTCTACGCAAAAAAGATCCGGCGCAGTGAACCCCAACACTGAAGAGAGAGCGGTGAGACACGCAAGCAAATCACGAAGGTTTTCAAAAATAACGTCTTGGAGAGATTTGGAGACGCGCTGAGAGCCTAACATCCAGCGGCCGAGCCTGTCCCGGCACCTGCACAGAGCACTGAGGACCGCGCAGCAGCACCGAGAGGCTGCCAGCTGAGCTGCGGCAGGGGCCCCCTCCACGCGTGGGCGCACGGTGTGGCTTCGGGGGTGGGACCCCTGGAACAGGGAACCTGTGACCCATGGAAGAGTGGCATCAGGGGGAGGGGATGGGGGAGGAGAAGGGGGAGGGGAAGGGGAAAGAAGGGGGAGGGGAGGGGAGGGGGAGGAGGTGGTCACGGCTGGGAGAGCAGAGTGAGGAGACAGAAGGCCAGGCCGGAAGGTTGAGGGACAGAAAAGGCCTCTAGGCAAATGCTGCGCCCCCGCCCCGGATCAGGGAACAAAATAAAAAGAATAGAATTTGCTAAAACGGGAACATAGCAGAGACTAAAGCCCTGAGCACAGGGCCAGCAACAGGAAGAGGAAACCGGGCGCACCCGGGCCCGCAGCCTCCACCGTGCGCCCCTGCTCTGTGCGCGATCCCAGCTCGCGCCGGCGGCCTCTCCTGCTCGGCCAGGGGCAGGGGCGGGAGGAGCTGGGCACAGACGGCGGCTGTCGGTGGGGGCCTCGGCACGCTAGCCAAGCGCCTCTCGGGTCGCCCTGGGAGGGGCCTGGGCCGCCTTCGGCCAGCTCTCCCCAGCCGCTGCTGTCCAGGGTTCCGCTCCCAGGTTTGGAGCGGTGGCCGCTCCCTGCAGGAGGACAGGGCAGGTGAGTGCCTCCCTCCAGAGGACCGGGCCATTCTGTGCGGCCAGGAGCAGCCCCCTCAGGTCAGCACAGGACAGCTGGTCTCCCCCCCCCCAGCCCCTCCTGCAGGGAGGACAGCACTGTCTCGGCCTGCGCCCCTGGGCAGGGAAGCGCCCACGGCCATTCCGAGCCTGAGGAGGTGCTGGAAAGCACATACACAGCCAGCTGGTGGCTTGGGCCCCATTGCTTCACCCGAAGGTGCGCTGGAGGAGCTCTGGGTGTGGGAGCGCCTCCTGGCCGCCGCCCTCGTGGTGACACACAGGAGGTTTCGGGGAGCGCGCACCCTACACCCGCGGTGCCCCTCAGGCCCAGCCGGCTCCGCGTCCTGCACAGAAAGCGCCCTGGGCGGGCCGAGCAGAGTGGGTGGCCTCGCTGCGTGTTTCCTGGCTGACAGCTCGTGTGTGGGGCCCAGCCCCGCGGTGGCTGTGGGAGGAGTCCGGGTTTCACTTCCTCGCTGGCTGGGGACTCCCGGCCGGGCAGCCGCTCTGGAGAGTGAGAACGCGCTCTCCTTCCCTGCACCTGGCTGGGAGCAAAGCCGGTGGGCGGATGGGCAGAGCGGAGCGTCTGGGAGCCAACATGAGCGCCCGGGTGCTCTCGGACCTGTGGGGCGGACTGGACGGGGACGCCGAGCTGCTCCAGGACCTGGGGTAAGAGCGCAGCCCCTGCTCCCTCTGGGGAGACCTCACCCCGTACCCTCACAGGCTTGCTGTGGCCAGAGATTTTCCAAGCCTTTCCTTCCTGTCCACCGCCCCACCCCACCTTCTGGCCTGGCTGCTCTGTTCGGCCGTGCTGGCTCTGTAACTTTCTTTGGGGGCTAATTCCATTGTAAAAGCGCAGGTAATTTTACCAGATGTGAAAACCGGCAGGTGGACAAAATGGGACAGAAACCCTATGCTGGACATCCTCTGAGAGGAGGGGAGGTTGGGGGGTGTCCGGGATTGCCCGGTGCGCTCTGGATGATGAGCGCAAGGTCAGTGTGTGTGCCGTGACACAAACAGAGAGCCCACTCTGAAAAAAAGCAGAGGGACCTTCGCGGATGGGAGCCAAGAAGGAAGTTTCAGCCGAGTCTCGCCGAGTTCCTTCCTCCTGGTGCACCCGGGGCTCCTGTGTGTGGCCCAGCTAAAGGGTGACTGCCAGCCTTTGAGAGTGTCTGAGCACCAGCTGGCAGAGCAGCACAGATTCACATGGTGGGGGGTCCTCAGACTCCTGTCTCTAGAACCAGGCCTGAATGACAGCACCATCAGGGCACCTGGTGAAAAGCCATTTCTAGAGGAGCAGGGATTCCAGAGAAATCAGCCTCCCCTCCCGCACTGGCCAGGCTGGTAGAGACACGAGACCTTCCGGAGCAGGGGCACCCACACCTTCATAAGTAAGGCGTTCATGGTGCCCTCCACAAGAGACATGGCACCAAACAGGTCTGCAGGGTGTGCTTTCTGTCACACATGCAGGAACACTGCGCTGCCAGGGAGTGTGGTCTTAACTTGGGAAACTGAACCAGGGAGTGGTGTTAGGGCAGCAGGTTCCTCTCTGGAGACCCCGAAGGGATTCCCACCCCAGATTTTAGCGCTGGGGTCTCAGAGCTGAACAGTGCCTTCATGCTGCAAATCAGATGTGACAGCTGGGTTGTTCAAGGACAAACCCCTCCTTAGGGACTCAGAGCCCTCTTTGCTGCCTTTGTGTGTATAGGGGTGGGGGTGTGGTGGACCCCAGGGCTCATGCTGGTTGAACCACTCCCCAGCCTCCTGCCTCAGCTGAGTCTTCTTCCATGACACCCAGACAGCTCTCATCTAGAGCTGTGCTGAATCATTAAGCTCAAGGTTGTGCATTTTGTCTTCATTCTTCTTGGTTATCTACAGTTTGAAACCTAGGAGAGGAGAGAGACAGGAAAGGGTTAGCCCTGGCCCTTTAAAAAGTCCCTGAAATCCGGTCTCAGCCAGAGTCCCATTGGCGCACACTCAGGTGGCAATGACAAACAAGACGTGCTCTGTGTCCAGGGTGGTGCCCTTCCATGTGCCCCACACACCTCCTCCTGCAAAGAACAGACATCCCTGCGCCACCAAGAGCAGAGTGCCCTGAAGTCAGACCTCTCTGTCTCAGGACCCCAAAATGCATCCAAGACACTGGACTACTTCAGTAGGGCTATGGGCGACCGGCAAGTATCAGGTCATGCTTTGTGCTAGAAAACCCAGCAGTCTGAAGAATCCCTGTGCCTCATCCTCGCTAGACCTGGACATGCACATCTCTGGATGAGGCTTTCTTGTAACTCCCTACAATGCACCAGAGGTTTGGTCAACACGCATCACTATGCGTGGGGGCTGGAGACTTTCTTACTTGTGTGAGTCTGTTGAGTGCATACCCAACTCTCAAATGTTGACGTCTTCTTAGTTCGAAGAATTTTGGTTAACACCTTCACTGAGGTATATTTGCATATCATGAAATTAACCTGTTTTTAATGTGGAATTCATACCTTTTTGCCACTTTGAGGAATGATCACCACAAAGGATCAGGTCTAAAACCTTTTCCACTCCCCTATTTAAGTATGCTTTCTGGCCATCCTTGATTTCTAGAATTTGTCTGTTTTCCTGGTATTTTCTTGCCTCAACTAAGGAATGGAGAACTTTAAGCTACCGAGCCCATTACATCTAGCTTGCAAATTGAATCTTTAGGTATCCGTTTGAGCTGGCACTGCCCCTTTAGAGCTTCGATGCTCTGACTTTATGGGTAATAGTCTGAGAAATCTTGGCAAGGATTTGTTGCCTCTGGCATGATTCTGAGTATGACTTAAGTTCACTCCTTGAACAGTCGACTCACTGGTGAGGTCAGACCTATACCAAACCTCCTGCCCAATTAAGTTTTTAAAAGCTCCATAAAGACAAAATGATCTAATGTGATTGATGGGTAAAACATGGCTGATCTTAATGACTTAACTTCAAATGAGTTTAGTAGGTTATTTGAATAGTTAACAAGTTCTTGTGTTTATATCTTGATAGATACAAGCAGGTTGTGTACTGGTTAATTTAGAGAGTACTGGTCTTGGTTCTTAGGTCTCTATGTCTCTTTAGGCTCCAGGGTATGTAAGTCCTGTCAGACGATCCTGAACTGTGGCATACCTGTCATTCACCTGTCCAGGACACATCACTTGCTCAGAGCACAGAACTATTATTTCCTAAAGTACCTAAATCAAGGAATGCAGCCAGATGTGGTGGAGCACACCCCTGTAATCCCAGCAGCACTCTGGGAAGCTGAGGCAGGAGGGGTTGCAAATTTAGCCCAGCCTCAAGAAAAGTAGTGACTTAGCAAAACATTATTTCAAAATGAAAAGAAAGAGAGAAAAAAATAATGGGGTTATAGTTCAGTGCAGAGGGTTCAGTCCCCAGTACAGCAAAAAGGAAGGGAGAGAGAGCGCGAAGAGGGAGGGTGGGGATACATGTTTGTGTTCTGTTTATGGAGAGCCAGTCCAAAAGCGCCTGCTAGCTTTCTCCCAAGAACACTGGAATTCCCAAAGCTGAGGGTGTGGCATCCCTTCACTGTGGAGCTGAGGGATGGGGGCAGAGGGGTGGCAGGGCCCACCGTGTGGAGAGGGAGGAGCAGGGTCTGCAGGCCACCAGTCTCACACAGACACCAGGCCACTGGCGCCTGTCCTGTCACTCAGCTCACACAGCTGGGGTGGGGGGCACCGTCAAAGATGCTGTGGCCAGGAGAGGCACCGCCAGGCTCCCTGCCTGCACGGCCTCGGTGGCAGGCAGCCACGGCCAGCTGTATTCAGGCTCTGCACGTGCCGCCGTCACAGAGCTCCCATGTTGCCGGGAAGAGTGACGTGTCACCACACCCTTGGCTCCAGCACACAGACTGTGGTCCACGGTGCGGTAAAAGAGAAAGAAAAAGAGAAAAAGCCCAGGTTTGCATGCCTTCAGGTTCAGAGCCCCAGCCACTGATGCAACTTCCCGATTTCTTCAGAGTTCTGTTTTCATTAAACTGGCACCAGTTCTCAGTAGCCGTGTGAAGTGAGGAGTGTGATTGCCACAGAGCAGCCCCGGCACACACAAAGGCGTAGCTGTGGGCCTTCCCGACACCGTACAGCAGTACACACAGCAGGCAATCAACCGATTAACCGGCCCTCCTGCACTGTGCATGGTCCTCTGCATAGCAAGAAGTTAAGCAGAGTGAGAAAGTCTAAAGGGAGACTTTCAAAGGGAGCTCTGGGTGGAGGCAGCATCCAAGGAGCCACAGGACGCTCCTCCTCAGCCTGATTCCCGCACCCTGGTGCCTGGCACAGCAACACAGGCGCGCAGGAGCCCTGGGCCTTCCTGAGCTGCACTGCCAGGAGTGAGTCCTGCTCCTCCTCCTTCCCCTCCTCCAGTGACTTCTTCCCCGGCGCTGCTCCACTGTGTCCCCATTCACAGCTGCACAGGCTGAGCGGGGCCTCATGTGAAGTCGGGGTGGGAGGCGCAAAGGCAGTGAGGGACAGACAGGAGCCCAGAGAGCGTGCCGAGGGGCAGGGGCCGCTGGGCTGGGGTCGGGTCGGGGACCGTAGCATGTTCGTAGTTCAGCCAGGAAAGGTGGTGATCTCTGCAGGAAAAGGCACCTATGGAGCAGCGAACACCGGGAGGCGGGAGTGTGACACATTTCTAAAAGCCTGCGTGGCCTCTGAGCCCAGGCCCTGGGTCCTGCCCTGATCACCTGAAGTGTGAGTATTACTTAACCTTGGGCATCAGGTCTCTGAGCATTTGTACAATTTCCTACTTTGTTGCCTGTCTGAAGTTACTCATAATAAAGTCATAGAAATATTAGCTGTTGAAACTTAGAAAAATAAAGGAAAGCACCAAAGACGTTAGCCATGTTGCACCACCTGAAATCTACTGCCCCAGTATTTCCAGTGTTGTAAAAATGTTTTTGTACACACACACAGGCACGCATGCAAATGTGTGCAGACTGAACTGAGACCGTGAGTACCTGGTTTAGCTCTGGCCCCAGGCGGTATGTCCTCCCGTCTCCTCCTCCATCCTTCTCCAGGCAGCTGTGGTCTGCGTGCTCCCAGAGCTGTGCACCATGTTAAAGTCTGGACGCTCAGGTTGGCCCAGACCCCAGGGCTGGGGCAGGTGCAGTCAGTGGGTGGTGCACGGAGGAACGTGGGTCTTGTGGTCACCAGGGCTGGCCACTAGAAGGATGAGCTGGGTGGCTGGGCGTGGTGGGCGGCAGTGGCTACCCTGACAGTTTGAGTGGTGGTGGGGAAACCCAAGGTGAGCTGGAGGAGCACGAAAGGAGCGAGGGCGGAAGCCAGTACCTCCCTCGGGTTGCACATCAGAAGTGACTCACATCCAAGCAAAACTAGTCCGGCTGCTTTTGTGTACTTTTCCAAATGGAATCCAGGACATTCTGAAAGCTTCAGTGTCTCTCAGTGTCTTCTTGGCTTTGTCTTTGCATCACACTGTGACTGTCTCATGCTGTCTCATGCGGGCTTTGAGCTACCGTTTCTGCTGTCCTGACCACGAAGAGCTTACAAGGCGCCAGTGAAAGATAAGCTGCTTCTGCATAAGGAACTTAGTACAGTGAAAGATGCATTGCCATTCAAGACCCTCAAGACCCTCACTTCCTTCAAACACACTAATCCTGTAGCTCTTCTCACTTCCTGAAGCAGTCATGCAGT